CTTCCTGCTCCTCTGATGCTGCTTGGCCTGCTGTGTTCATCCAGCTCTACACCGTGTTATCTCAGACTCTCCAGCATCTGCAGTTCCTACTATCTTATCACTAAGACTGTTTGCAAAAGCAAAAAGTCCTACAGAGCAACCTATTACCCAGCCACAGTCTAAACAGCAATAAAACCTTCCCCATATCTTGTTAATCCCCTTCTGCATGGCAGATATACCAGAAAATCAGTTTTGTCCATAACATTGCAGAGCAAATCTGGCCAAAGAAAGGACTTGAGTTTTCAAGGCTTTCTGCTGATATACATTAATCTTCCCCCTTCCCCTTTCTCCCACTTGGACCGTAATTTTCAAATAGTAAGCTTGCTAAAGTAACAACTTCCATGAATCCTGATGGAGGCAGCAAAGAAAATGTCTGTCATGATTTAATTGAACCAAAATGGTCATTTATCAATTCTGAATGGAAGCAATTCTTGTTAATGGCCTAACATGTTAATCAATAAGTGCATCCACTTCAAATAATTGGAACCTAAAGCTCTCTATTCTCTCCATTTAATGTCAGCCCTGGGTGATGTAGATTAAACCCTTTTAATGTGTTAATTACAGCAAGATAACAACATAATAACATGCATAAAAAAAGGCAGAGAAAGGGTTATCAGATTGGTTGTCTGTGCATATATGCTAAAAATAAATTATCCAGTGTGGGGCAAACTCAGGATCAGACATCCTCTAGATTAATATCCTCCACTATCACTCACGAGTTCAATGCATACAGAATACGGCTATTATTGTTTGGGCTTTTCTTGTATTCTTTTATGGGATGTGGGCAAGCTCAGGTTTATTTATAAGTAAAATACAATAACAATAAGATACTTAGAGAAGAAGGATTCAAACAATTCAGTCGGAACTTTGCACAAAGGTTCAAAATACCATTTCCCGAACACATTTCTCACACAACTTGTTAACTCTCGGGCTCTTGCATGAAATATTCTTTTATAAATCTATTTACAAGGATATATGTAGCTGTTGTGACCAACTAACTGATAGAGTTTAGATCCCTGGAGAGAACTGATGATTTGGGGAAAAAAGTCCTCGGTATCTGTTTCGGGTCAAAAGCCCTTCAGCACAGAACTGTCATTCAATCAAGATCAGAGGCAGAATTGTCTTTTTGCTCAGACTTTGTTTGACCAAATGGAAGTGAACTGCAGGACAGACAAAGTGTTGGTAACCTTGACTAATTGACAAAAGCAAACAACTGGTAATCTCTCCCAACCCTTCATTCCAAGATTTGGTCAGGAATGATGGTTTCCATTTTAACTCTAACTATTCCAAAACTACATTACATAAAATATGCAAAACCTGTGCTATTTGTCACAGAGGGATGACACCTTCCCTTGATGTCAGTCAGTATCAGGATGCAATTTGTAGGGAGCTGTAATGGGAGGGAAGTTACAGTCCATGTGTGACAGGGAAGGAGCAACATTTTATGTGTTTCCCTCCAGTGCTTTGGAATGAATAGGTAGACGCTGTTGGATTAAAAAAAATGTTGTTGTCAAGGTCAGAATCATTGGAGGGCTTCACCTGGAAATGAACATTTCCCGAACATATCTCAGCACTGGCTAAAACCACAACACTTGATATACGCTATTTTTACAATTCATGTCATGAAACGAACCTGAAGATTGAACCTGTACCCAACTTTCCCAGTAAAGCTGCCAGCCAGAATCTCACTGGACAAACAGCAAAGAAATACTTTCATTTCATGACATCAAAATGTCCCAAAGACTATTACATTTGGCGAAGTACCTTTAAATTTAAATTTTTAGCATGTCAGAAACACAGCTACACCAATGTAAGACACAATTTTCAGCATGAAGGAACCCCTATGGTGGAAGTAGCCTGAAAGCACACATCCTGCCCCCCGAAAAGGGTATTTCCTATTTACATGGCAGAGCGAGTGAGTCAGGGCCGGTTGATGAAAACCTGGTTTCCAGAGGCAAGTTGGCCACTCAAATCACCAGCTGTCTCCACTGAAATGGGATTTTGGCATCCCCAGTAGCGTGGAAACCAGAATGTGTGTCTGAATTTTGCACATTCATCCACAGAGGCAGAGTATTCCTTTCTTGAGGTAAGGTACCCCTATGCCTGAGACACCAGATCTGGTACCTCTTTTTCGAGAGGGGTACATTTGGGAGAGGTTCACGAAGGGGCCAGGTACCCTGATGGAAGGAGAGGCAGGGAAGACGACAGGTTTGTTAACAGTCGAGAAAATTGTGTCTAAAAATGCACAAAATATGTGCAACTGTAAAGCTGTCAAAGATGTGCAGGACATGTCGAGAAATAAACACAGAGAATGCTGGGGAAACTCAGCAGCTCTGGCAGCATCCATGGAGAGAGAAACAGAGTTAACATCTTGAACCTGGTATGACTTTTTAGAACTGAAAGGTGTTGGAAAATGTTTTTATTACACTTTAAGTGGAGACAGAGGAGGAGTGAGAGGGCAGATAGTATGTAGGCTCAGTGCAAAAGAAAACAAGTTGTCAATAATGGGAAAAGAAAATTAAAAAGTGTAGATTAAGATGTGAAAGGAAGAAAATTGGTCCTTTTTACTAAGTGCAAAGTAAACAGGACATAAATGTGACACTGGCGGAGGAGGGAGACAATATAAGAATAATGTTGAATTCCTCTTGAATGCCTCAATATAGAACCTTCAGTAATAGAATTTTCGCTTAGATCAGTTGAAAATGTTATGACTGTGACAATAGATTTTTGATAAGTAAGGGTGTTCAGGATAATAATGGTGACAGACCCGAGGCAGTGAAATTGAGTTGAGATTCAGACAGGCCACGATCAAGTTGAATTGACTACTCATGTTCTTATGTTTCCATCTGTGGCGTAATGACAATGCACCTGTAGATATGGCGTTATCTGAGCATGTTATTCAATGACCTGAGTCTCCTGAAAAGAACAAAACTTTGCTGTTTTTGCACTTCTCATTCCAATCTACTTTCTTCCCCCAGGCGAAAGAAGGAGACTTGATGACTATCAACCAAATTCTCGAAGAACCCTACTTAACATCCAAAAGATTTAGAGAGTGGAAACGGCTGAATCATGAGTTTTTCTTGGACATTTGTGGGTACAGTGCTGTTATGAAGCCACAGAATGGTGCATCTGAACTGGTATTACCAGCACCACTATTGACACACACACACTCATTCATCGAAACTCATGTGTAAACCAATTTGTAATTGCAGCATACTGCCCAACAGACAGCAATCTCTCCATGCTATCACATCTTTAGCATCTACATTGTATATTTGTACATAATATATTCAGAAGTATTCTTGTACATAAATTGGATAACAGAATAGTGTCACAGGATGCCTAATATCTGCATGAGATCACATCTGTATTCTTCCCAACTTTTGTTTTTGTTTTTGTTGACCAATACAATGAGCATTCAATCTTGCATTGAAAGAACAGGTAGTAGTGTTTATAGAAATTATAATTACACACATACCGTACATGTTGTATTGAAAAAAAAGCTAAGCTTTTAGTTAACGGCACCTATATGTTCCAACAATTTTATATTGACAACTTAACTCATCCCATCAAAATGAATAATGCTGGTGACAAGTGGTTGATAACAATCTCTGGTGAACCAGAGGGGAATGTCTTAATCTACTCACAGTTTTAGGTGAACATTCATTTTTACGTAAGCATTGAACATACAAATTGCTGAATGTATGTAAAGTATGTAAAGTTTTGCTAGTGTAACACTGAATGAACAAGAGTAATTTTTGATGTCCCTTTGAAAACAACCAGCTTTTATTAAAATTATAGCTAAAAGCTGTATATGAAAATGACTAAAAATATACAAGTATTAATATTTATATATGACTCCCTGCTCACGATTTTTTATACGATTGCTTGTTAAAAGAAATACGTTGACTCAAAACTGATATACCTGAGGCCCAGAAGCTGGTGGATGAACTATTGACACATTCAAAGTGATTCACTGAAATGTCATGTTCAAGTTTTGTACTGTTATTACTTGTGTAATAAGCTGACAGAACTTGCTTCTGGCACCCAGGGTAATTACTGTAACTATATGCAAGTAGACAGAAGACTTGTTAGACCACACTGTACCTTTAAAAAAAAACACAGTAGTAAGGTTTATCTGAATACATTATTCTGTTGTCATTTATTGTCTTTATTGCTTGCACTTTACCTGCACCATTAACTGTAAGCTGAGGGGAAGGAGTGTACTGAAACTGTGATAATATTCATTTGGGTCACTTAATGTCAACTGACTTCCTTATCAGTGTTTAAAGACTTCCTTGAGTCTTTTGAGCCATGCAAATTCAAGAGTGTAAATTTGGTACATTTTTGATTTGAAATCCATGGATAATATGTATCAGTTACTGACAGCATTTATGTCACCTGTTTTTACTTCCTATGACTTGAAGGTTTTTGCCATATGTAGGTTTCCATTGTATGTTCCTCCACTGTGTGTATACCTCACGGTACTTTGCACATATGTATGAGTTGTAAGTTGCACTGCAACAATAAAAAGAAAAATTTAACTTTTTTTTGCAATGCTATTGTTAACTATTAACATGTGTTCTGTGCATCATTGGAAGCAATTATTCCTCATGATTAAAAGGTAGTCTTTTTTGAACAAGTTGTAAGCCTGAGTTGTAAAACTTTTGACTTCATTAAATGAAACTCTCTGTGATACAGTATCTCCTTTGACTAATTTAATCTTTGTTTGAAAGTGATGGTATTCATTTTTGTTTGCCTTGGGCAATAGGTAATAAAACACCAAAATGTGCCAGCTCTGTATAAACAGTGTTCCTTGACATTGAAATGTTTTACCACAGTGCAAGTCCACTAAAGTTCTTTCAGTCATTGTAAAATTAATGGACATAAATGTAGGTTGGTCTCGACAAATACAATAAATAATCTGGGAATGTTATATGTGGATGTATTCTCTGCAAAGAGTTAGGAACTAATTAGCCAGGAAACTGTTGTATTTGTAAGTGTTTCAGTGGGAAACATTCATGTCTGCACTGGAGAATCAGGTTTTGTGCAACTTCACACTGACCAAGAAAGCTTTCTGACCAGGCAGCATGACCGGTGCATTAAACACAAAAAAAAATTCTTCTTGGCAAGCCTGAAGTGCAATTATTTCAAATATCTGGGAACCAGGAGACAGCCAACAACCTTGCGGCAGCTGTGAGCAATCCCAAAACATTTTAAATCAATTTAATGTTGATTTGGAAAATTGACTCACATTAGTGGCAGAAGGAAAACTGAATGAATCAAGTGTAAATGGAATGTCAACTGGGAAAGCAATTACTGCACAGCTACTGTCCACAATGAATCAGGACACTAATGGTGTTATAGAGATTTCTGAGAAGTTTTAAAAGATCTTCAAGTGACATTCAGTAGTTTCTTAAAAAAGCTCTAGCAATGGAGAGAGGATCAGCTATTTCCATCAGTGGGCACAAGATGAATAATTACATTTATTTCAGAGCTGGAAGCTTACTGAGGAAGACAGCTGAAATCCAGACAAAATCTTGGAAAAATTCGATACCCATCTCCTGCCAAAATCAAATAATTGGATTTATTGGTATTAATGTCAAGGGCTTAGACAGGAGTTAGGTGAGCCTGTTGACAACATTGTAATGAGACTGAAAAATGCAACAAGAAAACGTACATTTAAGAGCATTTAAATAGCTGATATTTCAACTAATTTCAGTTCTGTGCACCCTGAAGTACAGAAAATGCTAATTGGAAAGGAGAAGCCTTAATAATCAATTCCAGCGTTTTCCTTATTACAGATGTTAAGCTGACTGGCCTGTAGTTTTCTGCTTTTTATTTCCCTTCTTTCTCAAATCAAAGAGTCACCTCACTATTTTTCGCTCTGATGGGACCTTCCAGAGTCTCGGGAATTTGGAAAAATTAATACCAATGTGACTACTATCTCAGCAACTACTTCTTTTAAGAACCTAGTATAAAGTCTATAATGGATTTAACAGCTTTTAATACTAATAATTTTCCGAGTACCTTTCCCTGGTGATTGTAATTGTTTTAAGTGCCTCCCGCTCTTTCATCTTCTGTTTTGTAATTATTTTTGGGATGTTACTTGTATTCTCTGCAGTGAAGCTGAATGTGAATTTTTTGTTTAATTCATCATCTCCATTTCTTTACTTTCTATGATTAATTTTCCAGATTCATGTTCAGAACCTGTGATAATCAAGGACTGGTTACTCACCACATGGTCAGCTCTGTGAGCGGTTCAAAGATGTGTCACTCCTCATGGACAGAGTCCCCATGACTCATTTCAAAATGGCCTTTTTGATTGCCACAAGACCCCCCAGGACTTTTTCCCCTTGGGGCATAACTTCCTCAAACAAATGAATACATTTGGTCAGGTCATCTGAAACCATGGCCTAAATATTCTGATCTCTGAATCATCAGAGACTGGATGGAACAACTACTGGGATTTCTGAGCAATGCATTAAAACCTCCATTGTGAAATTCCCTGCTCCTTAGGACACCTCCCCAACCCCAGCCCACAAAGTCTCTGTTTCAGAGACTGTTTCAGAGACTTTGGACGGTACCAATTTAGGTACTTGGAAAGTCATCCAGGAAAATGTTGTACAGAACAATTCTAATCCAACTCTTGGGTATCAGCTGAGCTGAACCTCCATTCAACTCACAATAACCCTCTCAACTCCTCCCTTGAGGCCAACACTGCCTCCCCACCCCAACTATCTCCTCTGACACTCTGCCTATGTTTCCTGACCACCCCCCATTACCTTATCTAACTATCCTGCCCACCAACTCACCCCGGAAATTCCCTGAATATTTCGCCACTCCCAGCCTGGCCTGACTAATCCCCATCATCCGACTAGCCCCTCCCAGACCTAACCTGGCTGACCTGACCTGGTGACCCCACCGGACCCAACTACCCCATGACTAACCAATGTGACCACTGTCAAGTGTACTCAAGTACAGAAGTACGGGAGTACAGTGAAAAGTTTACAAAGTCGTCTGGTACCTTAGGTACAACGTACCTTGGTACAAATCTTAGTTACAAAAAGAGGAATAAAAAAAGAAAGAAGTCGCATTACTACAGTGATTCATAGTATAAGTTAGAAATAAGACATAGTTAAAAGGATAAACATTACAGTCAGATAAACAAATCACAGATAAACATAACATTGCAGTGGCTCAGTGCAGGATCTTCCACACATGGTCTGACTGGCCTCGCAAGCTGCTGACTGCACACGCTAGACCCTAGTCCAACAACCGTCCCTGCTCCGCTCCGTGCCTCCAGACCACTCCGCTCCAGGTCTCAGCCACTCTGTGCCGCTGGCCCAGTTCGCTCTGGCTCTCAGCTGCTCCAAAGTAACTTTTCTTATCAGAGAAAAAAAAAACTTAAAATCTTAGGAAAAAAAGATAGAGGAAGAAAAGGTGTGAAAAACAAAGTGGACGGATCGACAAGCCCCGGGCTGAGGAACCTGACTGCTGCCTACTCTGCCACTGCCATCTTGATATATGGTGCACATTTCTGAAGAAGCCGTGCTTGGAAGGCTCAAGCAGAAGTGAGGAATACCCTCAGTGCAGAGATACACTGAGTGGAGTAGCAATCCAACAATGAGTGCTGCTCAATGGATGGTCCAAGGCAAAATTAGTCATGGTTCATTAGATTAAATGTGTATAATTATAGTCATACAGTCATTTAGTCATATGGAAATGGTATGGTCCAACTCGTCCGTGCCAACCACGTTTCCCAAACTAAACTAGTCCTGTTTCCCTGCATTTGGCCCATATCCCTCTAAACTTTTCCTGTTCATTTACCTGTCCAAGAGTTTTTTAAATGTTGTAATTGTACCTGCATCTACAGTTCCCTCTGGCAGTTCATTCCATATATGCACCACACTCTGTGTGAAAAAAAAGTTGTCCCTCAGGTCCCTTTTATATCTTTTCCCGCTCACTTTAAAACTATGCCCTCTAGTTTTGAATTCCCCAATTCTAGGGAAAAGATCTTTGCTATTCACCTTACCAATGCCGCTCATTCTTATAACATCTATATTGTCACCCCTCAGCTTTTGACACTCCAGGGAAAAAAGTGCCAGCCTACCCAGACTCCCTTCATAACTCAAACCCTCTAGTCCCAGTAACATCCCTGTAAATCGTTTCTGCATCCTTTCCAATTTAACAATATCCTTCCCCATAGGAGGGTGACCAGACTGTAGCAGTACTCCAAAAGTGGCCTGACCAATGTCCTGTACGGCTGCAACATGACATCCCAAATCCTAAACTCAAAACACTGCCCAATGAAGGCAAGCGTACCCTTAAGTTTTTTCTGTGATAATGATTTTCATTAGTTTGCAGTTAGGGTTGTAAGATTAATAGGTCTGTTGTTTGCCTGGGTCATCTTTATTAGAACACTGGTTTTCTCCAATGTAGCTAAAAATTAACAACACAGAATTATTTAAGCCCATTTCTTCCAACTGATAATGATCAAGAAAACAGCCAATACAGCAGATGCTGGATAGAATCAATATTTTCTCGTCATGGTAATTACATGAATCTGCAAGTACACTTCACAAAGAAAAAAATGCTTGCCTAATCTTTGAAAACCTAAGTGACAAGGTTATCCAGTTTCAGCCTGATCAAAAAAAAATCCAGCATCACATCCATAAGAAGAAAAACTAATTTATCCAATGCTTTCACATACTACCTTTGCCTTTTAATTGCAGCTTAGCTTCTTACTTGGTCAAAGCTGCAGCATCTCATGATCCGACGTGTCTGAATGTTTGGGAGATACACATTTAAGGATCAATGTTTATGTAATAAATCCCAGTAGGTTGTTTCAGAGGATGTAGGATGTGTTTTATATCAGCTGCAGCAATTGTTAATTCATCACTGCTGTTACAGGGAGTGTGCCAATCTTTTGAAAAAAAAAACAAACAGTACTCGGCTGTTCAAAAGCTGAGATTGTTTTAGTTTACTGCTAGATAGGATGATGTTATGTGCAAGTGGCTGTGATATGAACAGCTCAAATTACTCTTGCACAAGGCAAAAGGTATGAATACAAATTGCATACTGGCAAACAGCTCAAAAACTCAACCTAACAGCTTGACTGACATTCTTTCAACAATGGTTTTTTGGGAGGATAGGCGGGCAAATATTACAAATTTATGGACCAAAATAATGCTGTATACTCTATAGCCCCCTCAGATCGATGGAAATAAAGTGACTGCCAATAGATCCTCAGCTTTTATAGAATCCCAACAGTGCAGATGAAGGCTTTTTAGCCCATCAAGTCTGTACTGACTCTCCGAGGAGCATCCCAGCCTATCCCTGTAATCCCACATTTACCATGGCTAATCCACCCAGTCTGCACATCTCTGGACACCACAAGGTAATTTCCAGTGGTCAATCCACCTAATCTGCACATCTTTGGATGTGGGAGGAAATCGGAGCAGACACAGGAAGAACATACAAACTCCACACAGACAGTCACCTGGAATCAAACCCAGGTCCCTGCTGCTGTGAGGCAGCATTGCTAACCACTGAGCCACTGTACCTCCTTTTGGGTTCATGTCCTGAATATCACAAGCCCCAATAAATTGAATGACTGGATTGTAGATTGAGTAAAATTAACTTCTAAAAATTGCCCTGCCCCTTTAAATGTTGAAAGAAGTTTGTCTTGTAGTCTCAGTTTTATAGCACAAATCAATATTCCTTCTCTGCAGGTACAATAGGATCAACATATTGACACCCATCAGGATTTCATACCAATTCTCCACCAAGGTTACCAACAGTGTAATTGGTGGTATTTGAACAAGGTACTACATGCTCCAATTTTTTCTTTAATTGGGCACCTAAAGATACAACATAGTGGATGATAGGTTCCTCCATACCCTTTTGTTTAAGTGCCTTGCCTGCCATATCGGCCAGGGGTGGATACATGAATTGGTTAAGCATATATGAACTTGGTGCTTGGTCCCATTATGTGGGTGAATTAATCTTTGCTAAATTTGTTAATGAATGAGCACAACCACACTGTGCTTTCCTTGATCATGTTTTGTGATATATCTCTGGAGCAGGTGGGATTTAAACACAAACTCTCTGGCCCAGAGGTAGGGACACTACCACTGTACTTGATCCCCAAAATTTAAGTTTTATATTTTCTTTATTGAACTGTCAAAAAGAGTTAGTGCATTCCTTCTAGTTCTTAAATAAAGCTCTGGGTTTCTGCCATTCATCATCTTTCACATCTGCCCCCACCCCTTGCCAAGGTAGCCTTTGTACCAATTCTGCCACGGTGACTGAAATTACAAGACTAATAACATCAAAGTATTTAATTGACTGTGAACTGTTTCATGCATCTTCAAAGTTTTGAAAGGTCAAGTTGTATCTAAATTCTTTACTTTCTTTTAGTGAAGATCTGTAGCTGGAGTTGTTGGTTGCTTGCCGAGCTGACTGGTTAGGTGACATCTTCAGTGCTGTCTAGCCTCCGTTGAAGTGCTGTTGTTCTATTCTGTTCTGAAATTATATAGCCCAGTCTGTTAGGGTGGGTAGTTGTGTTTCTGGTTTCGCTCCATGATGTTATGTAGTTGCGGTCTATTTCAACATGTTTGTTTATGGTAACAACGGTTGAAAACCAGGCTTCCAGAAATTCTTATGCTTGTCTTTGTTTTTCTTGTCCTAACTTTCCATTTTCTCTAGGTATTGGGATGTGTGTCAGTATTGTTAGTGGTGGGGTATTGTCCCTGGGGGAGTGTGTCAGTAATTGAGAAGGTGACGGTTGGGCATGCCTCTGACTTGTGCGTCAGTATTTGAGAGTGGTGTGTTGCTGGGGTCTGTCAATATTTGAAGGCGATTTTTTTTTCTTTTCTACAAATGTGATTATATTTGCAGAATGTCCTTAGCTTGTGACTCCATTTGCTGAGACTTGTCCCAGAGGGTATCCGTTTCCACACATGCAGTCCCCATCATACAGAATAGTGGGGAGCTCTCTTTGACTGTGTGTTTCTTCCAACAACAACTAAATCAAGCTTATATATACCCTTTATTGTATTAAAAGCCTTCCAAGCTGTTTCACACATCGTCAGAGACTCTTCACTGGGTACTTTGTAATCACCAGGGTCATCCTCATGGGGAACATAAAAAGAAGCCCTTGTGGGTGATAAGTTCCCCATGAGGATGACCCTGGTGATGATATGTTGCCTATGAAGATGACTTTAGTGATGATAACTACTCCAATGACCATGACTCTGGTCAGCATAGACACTCCCAAGACCTTAGAGCCGGCACTGAACGTTTTGCGCATGTGATGGATGTGATGCCGTGGCGAAAGGCGCATGCTCTAACACCGGAGCCGGCACTGAGGGCAGTGTGAGATAACAAGGTGTACAGCTGGATGAACACAGCAGGCCAAGCAACATCAGAGGAGCAGGAAGGCTGACGTTTCAGGCCTAGACCCTACTCTACACCTTGTTATCTCAGATTCTCCAGCATCTGTAGTTCCTACTATCTCTGAGGGCAGTGTGTATGTTCCAAAGCCGGCACCTCGTGGACTGCGCATGTTTCGACACCGCCTCCTCGGCTCAGCCCATGTTCTGACGCCGGCTCCTCGGACACTGCGCATGTTCTGGCCCCGGCTCCTCGGACACTGCGCATGTTCTGGCCCCGGCTCCTCGGACATTGCGCATGTTCTGACCCCGGCTCCTCGGACATTGCGCATGTTCTGACGCCTGCTCCTCAGGCACTGCGCATGTTCTGACGCCTGCTCCTCGAGTCCTGCCCATGTTTTGGTGCCGGCTTCTCTGGTACTGCGCATGTTCGGACGCCGGCTTCTCGGGCACTGCGCATGTCTCGGAGCCGGCGGTGTCGTGATGGCGTCCCAGGTGAGTGTCCGTAGGCTGTTGTTGTCTGTTGTGCGGACGTGAGAGGCGGGTCCTGGCGGCCGTAACTCATTTGATTGTGCTATTTGGTCCAGGGCAGCAGGACTCTGGGCGCTTGTATGGACTGACAGTCTGAATGATAGGATATTATCAGAAAGTCGGCTTCTGTGTGAGAGTTTGTGGATCAGCACCAAGGTACATTCATGTAGCGCCTTTAATGCGACGAACCATACCTGTGCGCTTCACAGGAGCATTATAGAATAACACAGCACTCAGCCTCGTAAAGAAATAGGTCAGATGACCAAAGCTTGATCAAAGAGGTGGGAGTTGGCAAGTAACCTTGATATTTTCTAGGAGGTGTGGAGGAGTTGTGAGGGAGGCTGCCTGGAGCTGGAGCAGAGACAGAATGCTGGAGAAATTCAGGCCTGACTGCACCTGAGACGTGAGAAACAGAATTTATGTTTCGAGTCTGATATGACTCTGTCGGAACTGAACAAGTGCCATAGCGGACTTGAAGCGTTAATTCTGTTTCTTTCTCCAACATTTTCTGTTTGTCAGATTTCCAGCATCCGCAATGTTTTGCCCTTATTTGAGGTGGAGATGAACGCTGTACGTTCTGATGATATTGCCAGGAGTTACTCTCTGATGAGGAATTGAAGGGTAATGGGAAGAGAGGAAGCAAGGATAGATCCTTTTGGGTGACACCAGTGGTGATAATGACAGAACGGGTAAAGAAGCCACAGCAAGTGACTAATGTCAGATAAATGAGAATTGAACTGGGAGTGTAACCCCACCCAGCTGGCCACTGAAGCAGAGGTGGAAGGTGGTGTGATCAGCTGTATATAACTCATAGAATTCCTACAGTGTGGAAACGGGCCCTTCGGCCCAACAAGTCCACACCGACCCTCAGAGCGTCCCGCCCAGACCCATTCCTATAAGCCACCTAATCTACACGCCCCTGAACACTTTGGGCAATTTGTCACGGCCAATCCACCTAGCCTGCACATCTTTGGACTGTGGGAGGAAACCCACACAAACACGGGGTGAATGTGCAAATTCCACACAGACAGTTGCCCGATGGTGGAGTTGAGCCTGGTTCCCTGGTGCTGTGAGGCAGCAGTGCTAACCACTGAGCCACTATGCCACATGCTGTGCTAAGAAAATATCTGTGGGTGTGTACACATGTGTATGTTTAGGATTTGTTTGATGATGTAAATATTCCTTCATAGGAGTGTTATCAAAGAAAGTTTGGTTCCAAACCTCATGAAATATTAGGACGTGTCCAAAACCTTGGTCAACAATTATGTTTTAAATTGTGTCCTAAAGGAGGGGAGAGACATTTAGAGTGGGAATCCCAGCTCTTAGGGTTTAGATTGCTGAAGGAATTAACATTTTTAAAAAGGGTATGGTAAAATATTAATATCTGCTTGATTTGCAGTGAACAGCCATATAACACTTAGTGAAAATGCATATTAACTTTTATATTTGGCATGAATGCTGTTATGAAACAGTTTGTCAACACTTGGGAACTTCAGACATTTAATATCAAACATTCCCATGTCAGATATGGTGCAGCTAGATAATAAAATTGCTGTCACCATGCCTCACCAAAGTGCCTCAACTTCAGCAAAGAATGCAATGATTTTGTTGTTTTCCATTTTAGTTTTCCTTAAACCATGCTCGAGTGACAGTGCCCAAAAGGAAACAGTGCAGTGTTGAGTGCTTATTAAACTGAGACTCGTCTCACATTAATGCACTATTGTTTACATAGAGTTGATCCAACTCGTCCAGGCCGACCAAATATCTGAAATTAATCTAGTCCCATTTACCAGCATATGGCGTATATCCCTCTAAACCCTTCCTATTCATGTGCCCATCCAGATGCCTTTTAAATCTTGTAATCTTACCAGCCTCCACCACTTCATCTGGCAGCTCATTCCATACACACACCACCCTGTGCAGGAAGAGGTTGCCCCCAGGTCCCTTTTAAATCTTTCCTCTCACCTTAAACCATTGTCCTCTAGTTTTGGACTCCCCTACCCTGGGGAAAAGGTCATTCACCCTATCCATTCCTCTCATGATTTTATAAACCTCTATAAGGTCACCCCTCAGCCTCTGACACTCCAGGGAAAATAGTCCGAGCCTATTCAGCCTCTCCCTATAGCTCAAGCCCTCCAACCCTGGCAACATCTTTGTAAGATAAGACTTTAAAAGCCAGAGTTGGGTTTGGAGCTCAAGTCCTAAATCTGGTGATTGCAAATCTCTCAGAGAAGGCTTTCTAAACTGAGAACTCTGAATTAAATGTGATTGTGTGGCCTCTTCCACTGAGTAAGCTCCACATTTTCTAAAGAGCTCTTGTGGCACGGCGAAGCAGGAGCTCCATGGTCAGATTCTGCTCACCAACTCAATGGCCATGGAAGTTATGCTCATCACGTGGCCAAACAGGTTGGTCATTAACTGGTAAACCCTTCAAATACAGAAACAGGTGGTAAGAGCTTAACAGTTTCCAATCGGCCAGAAATATGGTTTAGCTTTTTTTTTCTTTATTCGTTAAGAGAGGAGGATGTCGCTGGCTAGACAGCATTTATTGTCCATCCCTAATTGCCCAGAGGGCAGTTCAGAGTCAACCACATTGCTGTAGGTCTGGAGTCACATGTAGGCCAGACCAGGTAAGGATGGCAGTTTCCTTCCCTAAAAGGCATTAATGAACCAGATGGGTTTTTTCCTGACAATCGATTCATGGTCATCATTAGATTGCTAATTCCAGTTTTTTTTTTTACTGAATTCAAATTCCACTGACTGCCGTGGCGGGATTCGAACCCAGGTCCCCAGAATGTTATGCAGGTCTCTGTATTAACTGTCCAATGTTAATACCACTCGGCCATTGCCTCCCCGTACTGCAGCACAACAGCATCCATTCATTTAAAAAAAAATTCCCAAGCACAGGCCCTTGCCATGTACTGGACTCTGTGGCAAGTGTTCTCACTGTTAGGGACTTCTGGACGTCTGCTTCCCAGTTTTAATATCCTTGTAATCATGTTGTAATGGCTATAAGATTAAACCAATTAACCTGTATTTGTGCCATCAATTTATTTTGTTCTGAATATTACACATATTCAAGCAAATAGCCATTTGTTTTGCCTTTTTACCATTTTTTAACCGCCTTTGATCATATTCAGTTTTTCAATGGTCGTATGTTCTGCCCATTCCTCTAATACTCTTATACAAGTGATTACACAATTAACTGCCATTATTTATGCGTACATTTCCCCTCTGTGAAACTCTCCCACCTCTTTAATTTGTTTAAAACCCCTTCTACAGCTTAGTTACTCGATTCACCATGACACTGGTCCAACATGGTTCAGGTTATGCGAGGTATTGCATTTTGGTATAACAAACAAGGGTAGTGCTTATACAATTAATGTATGGTAGGGCCTTGGATAGTGTTGTAGAACAGAGTGAGCTAGTGGTGTAAGTATATAATTCTTTGAAGTTTGCGTCACATATAGACAGGGTGGTTAAAAAGGCATTTGGCATGCTTGCCTTCATTGCTCAGTCCTTTTGAGTATAGGAGTTGGGAAGTCATGTTGAGGTTGTACAGGACATTGGTGAGGCCACTTCTGGAATACTGCATCCAAATCTGGTCACCCAATTATAGGAAGGATATTATTAAGCTGGAGAGGGTTGAGAAAGTATTTACCAGGATGTTGCTGGGTATGGAAGGTTTGAGTTGGAAAGAAATGCTGGATAGGCTGGGACTTTTCTCATTGGAGTGCAGGAGGTCAAGAAGCAACCTTACAGAAGTTTATAAAATAATGAGAGATATAGATAGAGTTATGGTAGCTGTCTTTTCGCTAGGATGGGGGATTTCAAGACTAGGGGGTGCAATTTTAAGGTGAGTGGAGAGATTTTAAAAAAGGCATGAGGGGCAAGTTGTTTTTACACAAGAGGGTGGTTTGCGTATGGAATGAATTCCTGAGGAAGTGGTGGATGTGGTTACAGTTACAACGTTTAGAAGACATTTGGATTAGTACAAGAATAGGAAAGGTTTGGAGGGATATGGGCCAGGAGCAGGCAGGTGAGACTAGTTTGGTTTGGGATTATGTTTGGTGGAATGGTTGGACCGAAGGGTCTGTTTCTGTGCTGTATGACTCTGAGTGAAGCTTATCCCAGTATTGGTGCCAGTGCCCCACAAACTGAAACCCATTTCACCCATACCAATCTTTAAGCCTCATATTTAAATCCTTGACTTTATTTACCATATGCCAGTTTGCCTGTGGATTAGACAGTAATTCAGAAATTATTACCTTGGAATTTCTGCTTTTGAAATTAGCTCCTAACTATTCAAAATTTTACAGTAGAACCTCTTTTCAAGTCCTGTCAATGTTGTTGGCACCAATATAGATAATAACAGCTGGATCCCTCCCCTCTCTCTCCAGGTTCTTCTCAAGCCCCAAAGAAATATCCTTAACTCTGACACTGGGCAAGCACATAATCTTCGGAAGTCCCACTCGCAGAGTTCGGTATGCATTTCCCTAATTATACTGTCTGACCATTACTACATTCCTATTGCCTGGCCCCACTTGAATGATTCCATTCGCTAAGGTGCAAAGTCACTTTGCACATTGACCCTGCAGCCCCCCACATCCATCCACACAACCTGCAAGAACCTCATGACTGTTGGACAGTTGCAGGGGTCAAGGCTCTGCAACCCCCAGAGTCCACATATCTGCCTTACCTCCAGTCACACCCTCCTGTCCCTGATCACAGACCAATTTTGAGTTGCCTAGTCCAAGTGGAGTAATTGCCCTGTGGAGCAAAGTGTTCAGGTAACTTTCCTCGTTGCTGGTACGGTACAATGTCTGCAGCTCAGACAACAGCTCCTCAACTCGGACTTTGAGCTGCAAACGTGTTTACTCTAGACCATGTTTGTGTCAGGCAGCTTCCACATATTGCGGCATCAACAACAATCCGTGTATAAATAGAATAAGGGTGCTGAAAGG